CCTGAGGTGCAATGTTAGGTTGTTAATTTGTGATCTTTCTGTATGTTTGATGTAGGCATTTAATGCTATAAACTTCTGTTTTAGCACTGCTTTTGTTGCATACAAGAGGTTTTGGTGTCTTGTGTCTCTCTTTTCATTTGTTTCAAAAAAGGCATACTTAAGAGTAAGTTCACAGGGAGAAGCCCAACAGACACCCCTTTCTTCACTTCATCATTGTGGACATCACCAGGAACGTACAACCCAACACTGAGAGCACAGCATCACTGCTATGATGTTCCTGCCAAAAAAACAAGTCCTAAATATAATCACGAGAAAACAGGAGACAAGCCCAAACTTAGGAACATGCCACAAAATAATGGCTACACTCCTGAAAATCAGGGCCATGAAGGCTCAGGAAGCCCAAGAGCCGTTCCAGGGCATGGGATTGAGGGGACAAGTAAACGTAACAAATGCCTCTGGACCAGGCCCTCTGCCATAAAGGACATCCATGGGGCAAATGGCATATCTCAAAAAGGGCTGAGGATTAACTGACATCAGGGCTGGCCTTTCAAGCTACTGTCCATGTGGGCATGGGGGCCTCATGCTCATTTAACATTCTGTTATTTATTTATTTATTTGAGACCGGGCCTCACTCTGTTGCCCAGGCTGAAGTGGCATGACTATTCACAGGTGCAATCATTGTGCTTGCAGCCTCAAACTCCCAGACTCACTTGAGTCCCACACTTACTTAAGTCTGGGAGTTTGAAGCTGCAAGCACAGTGATTGCACCTGATCCTCCTGCCTGAGTCTCCTGGGTGCTGGGACTACAAGCACATGCCACTGCACCTGGCTCGACACCAAAATTTAACAGTGAGTGTCTTGGAGCTGAGACTATATGGGGCTTTTGTTTCCTTCATTCTGTTGGTATCTGTTTTACATTTTTCAACAAAGAATATATATTCCTTCCATAAAAAGAAACTACAAAATTATTTTTAGAAATACAGCGTCCACACACATTTACGATCTTGGAGTCCAAGGTGGAGGAGCAGCACAGAAGGGTGACTATAGTCAATAATAATTTAATTGTATGTTTTAAAATAACTAAAAGACAGGCATGCACTGGATGTTGGGTCTTGTTTTCTGGGAGCCTACAAGGGATGATGAAGTTCCCTTCTCTACCTCAAAATGTTCAAATGTTTGTAGAGTTGCTCACTGGGCCATCTGCATTACCAAGGCACAGTGAACCAGAAGCTTGAAGGGGCCAGCAGTCTGGTTTTATGAGACCCCAGGGAATGTGCCCTGATCTCTGAGAACCATTCACCAACACTAACAGGGTAAGAGACAGTGACAGAGGAGAGCTTATCAAATTGAAAACCTGTGAAGTCATTTCACGTTTCATCAGCAGTTTAACAGTGACAGGTGCTTGGAGAAAGCTCACAAGGTTGATTGGAGGACTTCACTCGATCAGTGCCTCCCAAACTGCTGGGTGTTTAGTGTGCATGCATGTCATCTGGGGAGCTGCGGCAATCCCCAGGAGCGAACCCATTCAGGAGGGGGTGAGCTTTCATGCCCCTAACCTGCTCGTAGGGAAGGCCACACCAAAAAGAGAGAAGCCTAAGCCAGTTTTCTCTGAAATGTGCCCCTACTCCACTTTGTAGGAGGCACTGAGCCGACAGCTGGTTAGATCCCCTGCAGGCACTTCACCACTCCCTGGGCCTCAGTTTCCTTATTTGAAAACTGAGAACAACTTTGCAAGACTGCTATGAGAAGCCAATATATCTGGCACTGGTGTGGAGATCTGGGGTAGCAGCCTGGGGCTCTCTGGGCCTAACTCTGCCTTCCCCTCCCTCTGCCCACTCCTTTTTGTCTCTACTGGTCCCTGTCCTCATGGCTCTAGACACTAGTCACTGTCAGATGTGCTAGAAGGAACCTGAGACGAACTGATGGCAACAACCTGTTTTGTCACAATAACATTGCTAGAACATAGTCTGGGCACATCAGGTGCATTGTGTATGCAAAGGACACACCATTTAGGGCGTTCTCTCCTTGTTTAACACCTTTCCCAAGTTGGGAGTGGGGAGCAGGTTAACACAACCTGCATGGTAGACTATGTCTTTACTGCAGCCCCTATGCACCTGCCTCAGTCTCTGCTTTCCAAAGTGACAGCCTGTTCTCTGATAAACTCACTACCTCTGGGTGTAAATGTCCAATAATGAGTTAACCTCATACCTATCCCTGCCACATCTGGATTTCAATTGGGGAATTCTCAGTGATTTTATTTGTCAGGATGCTTTGCTTGCAACTAACAAAAGGACTGCGTGAATTTCTCTTAAACAATAAAGAGCCTCATCATCCCATCCAACAGAAGAAAAGGGACAGGACAGCTGGAGGAAGCTCATTCATGGCTCAGATGTCCGGGCCCAGCTTTCTCTGCCGTCTCACACCTCACTGGCACATTTTGAAGCAAGTGTTGAGAGGCAGGAAAAGGAGAAGTCACTTTTCACAGGCCAAGGTGCCCATTTCTACACCCAGTATTGGCAAGAACTCAGGAGCCTGTGTCGGGAGGATCGCTTGATCCTCCCGAGGCTGCAATGAGCCATGATCACGCCACTGTACTCCAGCCTGGGCAACAGAGTGAGACCCTGTCTCAAAAACAAAAAGAATGGAGCTACCCTGACGCCTTGGCTTTGAGGGAGGACCTTGCATCTACCAAGGTCCATGAACATTTGCTAACCAACTGGATTTCAGTTAGCAAGAAGTGGGTGACTAGTCTCCTCCATGCTATAAAGCCTAGACCCCAAGGAGCACATGGAGAACAGTGGAACCTTTGTCATGACAGTCCCAGTTCTGAATGCCTCAGCCAAGTTCCTGAGTCCCTCCAAGCCTCGGCAGCTTCATCTGTAGAATGGGGCTGCCAGTATCCACTTCATGGGGTGGCTGTGAGAAATGAGTTTGTGCACAGGCTCAATAGTGTCTGGCACCCAGCGTGCACTGGCACGCGGTAGCTTTTACTACCATTCTTGTTAGCATTGTCATCTTTTCCCCAAGGGCCTTCTTTAATTAAGCCACTCAGTATTAATCTGCATAGATCTTAACGTTTTTGATGCAACATGCTGTCCAGACCCTGAGGATTTCAGATAAGGGACTGTAAACCTGTATATTTTTCAGAAGTGACATAAATGTAAATGAGATTGTAGGGTTTTGAGATCTCCATATAAGAACTATTTGTACATTTTTAATGCGTCATTATAATTTGAGTCAATCACCGTTTCTTTTTTTTTTTTTTTTAAGAGACAGGGTCTTGCTGTTTCCCAGGCTGGCCCCAAGGTTCTCAGTGCAGTAATTCTCTCACCCCAGCCTCCCAAGTGTGGCATGCCTGGCTCAGTCTCCATTTTGAGTCACCTTGCAGCATTTCAGTTCAGGTGCTCCAGGGCCTGACTTCCACAGGTAGTGCTGCAATGTGAATCCCTCACGTGGAACCCTCAAGTGCTCGTGCAAGCACTGGTCCTGTTCCCAGCCCAGTAGTGCTACAGATGCACCTGCAAAGCTGGCGTTCTGCTGTTTTCTCATGGAGTTATCACGGTCAAGTACAGAGCCTAAGAACCTGACATTATCTTGCTAGGGAAATACAAAAACATTTTTTTTTTTTTTTTTTTTTTGAGACAGAGTCTCCCTCTGTTTCCAGGCACCAGGCTGGAGTGCAGTGGTGTGATCTTGGCTCACTGCAACCTCCGCCTCCTGGGTTAAAGCAATTCTCCTGCCACAGCCTCCCGAGTAGCTGGGGCTACAGGCGCACACCACCACGCCAAGATAATTTTTGTATTTTTAATAGAGACAGGGTTTCACCATGTTGGCCAGGATGGTCTTAATCTCTTGACCTTGTGATCCGCCCGCCTTGGCCTCCCAAAGTGCTGGAATTACAGGCATGAGCCACCATGCCAGGCCTACAAAAACATTTTTAAAGATGTTGTGCTTGTAATCATCACCATGCATTTCCAACATCAGGATGGCAAGGTCTCCTGTACATAAATGAATTCACATAGCCATGTTCCGCTAACATCAGATACAAAATGCCTTGGCCTAACCTCAGCCCACGAGGGTCTCTTACCAAGAGCACGAAGCAAACTGGTTGTTTTAAGCCAGGGAGATTTGCCGTTTGTCACTGCAGTATCACCTCATTATCCTGACCTATATAATGATTAACCACAGACACATACACCCCTTAACTGGCTACCAGAAACCCTAGAGCTACACATTTGGCTCATGGTGTAACACAGGTATGAGCCTTCATGTGTGGTGTACACTTCGTAGCCTGATTTCTGAATCCCTTTTTCTCTTTCTCTCCTACTCATACCGTCATGTGGGGTTTCATCTATGCTTACAAATTGTCTTAAATCCTTCTAAGTGGCCTAAGGCAGTGGCCTACCCATCCCAATATAGGAAGTAAGAATGTGGAGTATAAACAAAATATTTCGTAGATCTGAAAAGAGAAATCTTGCTTCTGCCATTTGATGACTTATACACAGCTTAGCCCCAGAGCACAAATGACACGAAAAACAAGGAAGTCAGCATCTTGCAGCAGCATCTCTTACAGTTCCTACCCCACACAGTGCACAAGCACCTTTCTGGGTAGTGGCCTCATCACTCACCCACGGCCACCGTCTGCAGCACATGGCCTGGATTCAGTGGTCAGCACAGCAGGCTGCTCAATGCTGTGGGTCTGCCATCCCTTGGACATATTTCATTTCGTGGGAGAAGGCTGGCAGGAGCACAGCGACTAAAGCCACTGCTGCTTCCATAGATTGTGCTCCCGCACCGTGGGCACCTGTCATGTGCAGATCCTAGGACAGATGCTTTCCGTGTGCCATCTTGATTCTCACAGCCCCAGCAAAAAGCCAGGGCTTGGAGGGATGACACGACTCATAGTGCAGAACCTGACAGAATTTAGAGAATTCTGAATTTAGAACCTGACAGCTGAGAGAGGCTGGGGCAACAAGAGGGAAGCTGAACTAAATAGTAGCTGACAAGGGATAGCATCTATGTCTTCTCTTCGGATAAACAGCAAAATGAATCCTTGTGTTAGAGGTGATACGAGTTCAGTACAAGTGATGCCTTTTACAGCCTGTGTCTCAGAGTTACACACTCTTTAGAAGGCAAAGACCAAGTATGCTGCATATTTGGATGGATTTGAAAATACACTAGGTGGCTATAGCCACCAAGGGAAAAGTGCTGCTACTTCATGTGTGATGGAACTACGACAAGAGCCAGGCTCGCCCAGGAAGCCTCAGCAGCAAACCTGCCAACTCACTTTCTGCTCAACCACGGCCTGAACCTGGTGGAGCCCGTTGCACAAAGCTGTGCTAAAGAGGCCAGTCAGAGACAAAGCCCCAGGGCCATGTGCCTACGCAGCAGCTCTGGGGGTGTCGGGAGACCCTGGGGACCGTCTGCTCTCCCCAGGTTTGCAGGTTCAGTTCTCATCCCCGCCACTGCTGTGGTCTGACCCCTTGGGCCAAGAACTCATTGGCACCTAGCAGGGCTCTGCAGGTGAAGGTGGCCATGCCAGCATCTCAGAGACGCTATTTTACCATTTTCTTTTTGCGATAATCTGTAATAATATGGCCCTTTATTTTTTAAATTACACATAGCGTATGGGGGTTAAAAACAAGTGACTTTTCTGGGGCAAACTGTGTTTACATACATGGAAAAGCTAGAAAATGTCCAAGCAGTGGAAGAGCAGATGGTTTTAACTCCATCAACTGCCTCAATGAAGCAACATGCTGCATCACGTGACAATGCTTTTCCTTGCAAACATGGGATGGACAGAGCTGACGCAATGCCATCTACTCCCCCCTTGCTCTGCAGCCATGGTCATCCTCTGTTATACTACCTCTTCTCTCAGCCTCCAACTCCTCTGTGTCTGGGGCATAGTATTCGTACTCCGGGGCGCCATCCAGGTCCAGGTCATCTTCGTCCTCCTCTCCCAACAGGTAACTCTCGAGGGAGCTGTCCCGCTCCAGGCTGGGCTTGGCCTTCTTCCTTCCCTTTTTCATCTGCACTGTCAGCTCAGCCACCTGCTCCTGCCACACTAGGCCCCCAAGCCCTTTATCCTTCCTCCTTTTGTACTCCATAATCTGCCTGTTGAGTGCCTCGTGATCGATCCCACACAGACTGGAGCTTGTGGTAGGCTCTGTGGTGCCGCAGGGTTGCAGGGCATCAGGGTTCCTGGGAAGGGAGAAGAGGGGCCTTCACACAAAGCACAAACCAAGCCCCCAATCCAGTGCTGTCGCCACAACACAACAGTGCATCACACTTCCTACATCTGCTCACTTGTGAACCCTCCCAAGAGTCTACTTAAAGGTAACTGGAGACAAGACTGAAGGAAAGTGGGTTTTGGTTTTGGCATTCTCCAGCACTAGAAGCATTTGGCCAGCACAGTCTACATGCACCTGTCCTGCATGCATTAACTGAATCTGCGCCAGGTGCAGTGGTTCACGCCTGTAATCACAGCACTTTGGGAGGCTGAGGTGGGCAGATTATGAGGTCAGGAGTTCAAGGTCAGCCTGGCCAACATGGTGAAACCCCACCTCTACTAAAAATACAAAAATTAGCCAGGCGTGGTAGCAGGCGCCTGTAACACCCAGCTACTCAGGAGGCTGAGGCAGGAAAATCACTTAAAACTGGGAGGCAGAGGTTGCAGTGAGCCGAGATCACACCACTGCACTCCAGCCTGGATGACAGAACAAGACTCCATCTCAGGGAAAAAAAAATGCATTTGCAACTTTTTTCTCCAAGCATGGCCAGTGCCTCAGATCAGTTAAACTAGCAGAATTACAGGTGGTGTCTATCAGATCTGCTACTCATTAACCTTCATGAAGAGTCTATTCTTGGTGAACACCTAAGCAGAGCCATGTCACAGCCATGTATCCTCCAAGGCTCCACTCTGGAAAGTCTCCAAAACCCTGGGCTCAGCTTCCTGACCTGCTGCCCCCACACTGCCCCTTGCTGACCCAGTCAGGGCAGGCCTGCTACAGTGTGGAGCTTTGCTTCCAGCTCAGGTATGCACCTGGCAGGCTGGTTAACCCTGACTCTGGCAGGTGCCCAGGCGATGTCGAAGCTGCGGTATAAGGCCCACAGGCAAGGCCTGCTCTAGCAGCTGCATGCCTGGAATGGGGCCCTCCACAAACACCTCAGTACCTGCAGGCTCTGTCAGTTTCCACTACATGTTTGGAAAAGTTGTATATGTGTGTGTACATGCACAGGCCAAACTTCCACGCACCCGACCTGCTCTCCCAAGCCCCACCTTCCTCTACTCCACTCCTCACATAGGACTGACCCATCTGTGAATGTTTACTGCTTCCTGTCGGCCTCCCCTAGTGAAATGCAGATTCCAAAGACAGCTGCAGCCTAAGTGCTAGACCAGGCATACAGTAGGCACTCAATAACAATGTGTTGAGTGACTGAAGAGGACAAGAGACCTCTCCTCACGGGAGGAGTCATGGCAGACACTTCTGGTGACCATTGAGGCCCTCACTGTGTAAATGTGGCCAGGCCACAGCACAGCCTGTGAACATGGACTGACAGTCTTGGGGGCAAGTAAGGGGACCATGCAGGCTACTGGGGATGTGGAAAACGGCAATTCCATGACTAGTAATCTACCCCAGGGAATCAAAACATATGCCCACATGCATCACCTGAAATCAATTCGCACAAAGTCGTCTGTTTGATCCGGAGGTCCAAAGTCTGCGACTGCCAGTAACTGATCAATCTGCAGAGGAACACAGAGGGTAAACCAGTTAGCCATATCCCCACCGCCGTACTCAGAGCTGGGCTCCACGTAACATCAGCGTTGCACCTTCCTGTATTGCCTTAACCACTGAACTTTTGATTAGACTTTGCATAATTCCTTCTATCAACTCTTCCCAAATACTTAGGAACTGTTCAATAGCCTGTGCTTTCAAATACCTTACTGTTACTTTAACACCACATTTTCTCTGATAACAAAGTGAAGCTTTTTTAAAACTATATTTTAGACTTGTAAATGTTAGTCAAATTTACGAAGAAATCAGTTAAATGTTAGTTGAATTAAACAACTAACCGTTAACTAGTTTCTAAGGTAGTTTTGTAAAATGCTTCGGTTTTGCCACAGAATGTGTGTGCTTGGGGGGACAAAGGCCTCCCAGCAAGACAAGGCAAAAGATGATAGGGACAGTCACAAAGCTGGGAGCCTAAACTACAAGAGAAAACTACTCCTCATCCGGGCAGATGGGATGCTACCCAAAACAGGGCAAGGCCCACAAACCCTGCTGGACACTGGATTCCACCCGAACCCTTGCCTGCCTGTCCCCTGCCTCTGGGGATGTCCTCATCCTGCCTTGTATGTGCCATGCTTCAAGCACAGCACACGCCCTCCCCTGTCCAGTGACTGTTCTGGAAGGGAACCCACAACACCTGATGGGACCCCCCTCCCCAAAGGCAGGAGCCTGGGGTGCTGGGCTCAGACAAAGGGACTGGCACACCCTCCCCGGGAATGCCTTGCTGATGCCCTCAGAGCACATTGCCATGAACTAAACTGTCCTTGATTCCTTACAGCAGAGACTGTAACTTCACTCCTTTGTTTCTTTTCCTAGCAAGGGAAATCACATATCTGTCAAGCTTAATGTTTTTAGTGTTACCTGTACAATAATCAAGAAAAACCAAAAATGTCAAACTGGATCTTTTTCTTCTGCAGATCCAAATGCAGACTAGCCCTATAGTGAATAACAATAACCTAACTATAACACTGCAAACGCTATTTGTCGATTTTTTATTGACTTTTTGAAGGTATAACATACCTTAGTAGCTACCAGGTAACTACCACCCAGATAAGTATATATTTACATGTTCTTAATCTTTACAGTTAACCCATCTCTAAAGCAAGGAAAATAATGATAAAAGCACTTATAGTTACAGGACAGACCTAAGTCTCATAAGCCCCAATGGTGTGGAATGACAGCAGACAGATCCATGCCGAGAGGGAGGGGGGAGACAATCGTGGGAGGGCAACTCTGGCTGTGTGGGGTTTATGCACAAAGAAACAGAGGCTGTGTTTACTAATCAGAGCTATAGTGATAAGTATAAAACAATAAAAACCAGAAAAAGCAATTACCTCTGGGGACCTGGGCTGGGAACAGGGACACGGGAGCAAGGGGGAGCCTTTTCATTTGCACTCCCTTTCATTACTTCTCATTTGTTCCCTTCTCGGTGGTTTCATCTCTTTAACTGTACATTATCTTTTCAGTATTTAAAACTTAAATTTAAAATTTTGCTCACATAAATGTTTATGTTATAAAAACTTAGTTATCAGCTGGGCCCAGTGGCTCACACCTATTAATCCCAATACTTTGGGAGGCCGAGGCAGAAGAACTACTTGAGGCCAGGAGTTCAAGACCAGCCTGGGCAATATAGCAAGACTCTGTCTCTAATAAAAACATTAAAATTTTAATTTTTTTTTTTTTTTTTTTTGAGACGGAGTTTTGCTCGTTACCCAGGCTGGAGTGCAATGGCGCGATCTCGGCTCACCGCAACCTCCACCTCCTGGGTTCAGGCAATTCTCCTGCCTCAGCCTCCTGAGTAGCTGGGATTACAGGCACGCACCACCATGCCCAGCTAATTTTTTGTATTTTTAGTAGAGACGGGGTTTCACCATGTTGACCAGGATGGTCTCGATCTCTTGACCTCGTGATCCACCTGCCTCAGCCTCCCAAAGTGCTGGGATTACAGGCTTGAGCCACCGCGCCCGGCCAAAATTTTAAATTTTTAAAAAGTTTTTCTGAAAGCCTTACCTCAGCTAGAGCTGCACTTCGCTTGTCTTTAACAAACACTATCGGTGGCACATTCCTCAGGGTCTGTTGGGACATCAAAAGGTGCCTAGGAGAGAGAATGTGCAAACCCTCACATCTGTACCATGACACTCAGTGGAGATGTGTGACAATGCTGAACATAAGATTTAAGATGGCACTAAGAGGCAGGAGTGAGATTTATTGTATTACTCAGAAATGAAAACGTCAGCCCAGAAAAGTCATCTTTAGCCAATAACCACATCACAAAAGGGATGCAATATGCATCATAACTGCAATTACCTTGACTTTTCTCAATTCAACTTGTGAGATCTGTATAAATAACCTGATCTGAACTCATCACTGTGGCCTTGGGTTCCAGGGTCTGTGTACTAACAGCGTGTCCTCCTGCGCTCAGTGGACCTGCACTGGCATGACACGACCCTCAGGTTCCCAGATATTAGCACAGAAATGATACTTGTATCACGCACATCATACAATGCAGACTAGGCCAATGCAGGTACGGCACATATAACCAGTGAAAGCCGTGACCACAGATCTTTGGTTCACAGCTATGGTAAACCTTTACCCTAAATCGTGGGTGACCGCAGGAGTTGGGAAGAGGGACATTCAGCTCAACTGAATTTTTGATACCTAAAAATCAAAAGACAATGCTGTTTCAACACTTGTCCAGAATATCTCATTTTCTTGGTTTTGTTAAACAGTAAGAAATGAAATGAGCATTCTCTGACATGCAGTTTAAGAAAGGCTCCTGGGCATCATCATGCTGGGTGTGGGTGGTAATGAAGCCAGGCAGGGTGCCTGAAACAAAGCCCACACATGGTCACCTTCTCTACTTCTGTCCCCATCCTAAACCTGATGCATGATGAGAAGGGAGGCAGGAAGGAAGAATTCCAGTTCTGAGAGTGCTGGTCAGTGAGCTGGATTTCTGTTTTTTTGTTTTGTTCTTTTTTTTGTTTTTGAGATGGAGTTTTGCTCTTGCTGTCCAGACTGGAGTGCAACGACATGATCTCAGCTCACAGCGACCTCTGCCTCCTGGGTTCAAGCAATTCTCCTGCCTCAGCCTCCCAAGTAGCTGGGATTACAGGCATGCACCACCATGTCTGGCTAATTTGTATTTTTTAGTAGAGAAGTGTTTCTCCATGTTGTTCAGGCTGCTCTCGAGCTCCCAACCTCAGCTGATCCACCCGCCTTGGCCTCCCAAAGTGCTGGGATTACAGGCGTGAGCCACCATGCCCGGCCGATTTCTGCATTTTTTAAAATTGAGGAGGAAACGGAATGATTTCTTTAGTATCACCCAGCTTAGCAATTCCCAAAATTTTTGGTCTCAGGATCCTTTACACTCTTAAAAATTATTGAAGATTCCAAAGAGCTTTTGTTTATATGGGTTATATCTATCAATATTTACTATACTAGAAACTAAAACCGAGAAATCTAAAAGCTGTGTCTTTTTAAAGTCATTAAAAACCCACTAAATGCTTAGACATTTTTAATGAAAAAAAGTATATATTCTACCACCCCAAAATCAATGAGAAGTATGGCATTGTTTACGTATTTGCACATTCTCCAAGGCCAGCTTCATGGAAGACAGCTGGGATCTCATTGCTGCTTCTGCACCCTGTCCTTAACTCTTGTTGAAATATAGGAAGAGCTAGCGCAATAGCTCATGCCTGTAATCCCAGCACTGTGGGAGGCTGAGGCCAGAGAATTGCTTGAGCCCAGGAGTTGGAGATCAACCTAGCTAACATAGGGAGACCCTATCTCTACAAAAAAAATTAGCCAGGTGTGATGGCATGCACCTGTGCTTTTAGCTGTATGGGAGGCTGAGGCAGGAAGACTGCATGAGCTTGGGAGGTTGAGGCTGATTGTGCCCCTGTACTCCAGCTTTGGAGACAGAATGAGATCCTGTCTCAAAAAGAGCAAAAAGAAAGAAAGAAAATAAGAAAATCAGGCCTCACAGATATGTGTTGGGAAAGAGAGAATTTAACAGCCCTCAGAAAGTACGGATCTTCTTTGTCACAGAAACTCAACAAATGTACTCCCAGCCTGGCCAACATGGTGAAACCTCATCTCTACTAAAAATACACAAATTAGCTGGGTCTAGTGGTGGGCATCTGTAATCCCAGCTACTCAGGAGGCTCAGGCATGAGAATCGCTTGAACCCAAGAGGCAGAGGTCGCACAGAGCCAGGATCACTCCACTGCCCTCTAGCCTAGGCGACAGAGCAAGACTCCATCTCCAATAAATAAATAAATTAAAGGTCAGTTGTAATGAGGAATCTGAAACTACACCAACCAACCTGTCACACTCTGCTACATTAAAACTCACCATCTGGCTCACACTGAATGATTTCTCTCAGCATGTGGTTTTGTAACCTCATGTACTGGTCATTTGGAAAACAATGGTTCACCTAGTTACACAGATTTTAAAAGTGTTGACACAGTTTATCATATAACAGCACGTTTGTTAATGTCACTGCCAATCTCAACAGAAGACTCTCAAGTACCTAGAAGTTGTCAAGCTCACAGTGGTGAATACAAGTTTCCTAAAATTCTGATTTTCACTTGAAAGCTTCAGTTTTATCACTGGCAACAGATATAGTCAGTTGTTTGCCCTAAAGCGGTAGGTTCACTCGCTCATTTTTTAAAGAATGTCTGCCAAACAGCCAAACCTCAACAGTCTGCTCATTGATATTTTTCTGTTCGGCGCTCTCCAGACGCCAGGTGATTTACATGTACTTCCCATCACAAAGAATATTAAAAAGACACATTCAAGGGTCAAGATTTAATAAAATTAATATTTTTTAACTAACTGTCTAGGATATTTTTTTTAATTTTTTTCTTCGAGAAACAGGGTCTTGCTCTGTTGCCCAGGCTGGAATGCAGGGACATGATCATGGCTCACTGCCACTTCAAATTCCAGGGGTGACAGAAATCCAGGGGATACCCCCCACTTCAGCCTCCTGAGTAGATGGGACTACATGTGTGTACTGCAACTATGTGATTAATTTTTTAATTTTTTGTAGAGACAGGGTCTCACCATCTTGCTCAGACTTGTCCCGAACTCCTGGCCTCAAGGGATCCTCCTGCCTCGGCCTCCTGAGGTGCTGGGATTACAGACGACAGCCACCATGTCCAGCCTCATCTGGGATATTCTTAAGTAATGTGACATTGTCTTTTACTACAGGTATGCAGCATGATGCCCCTATAGCACTGGCAGGCAGCATGGCACCCGCAGTCTTCCCTCAAGGTTTCTGCACCCTCAGTGTAAATGTCAACACAGCAGGAGAGGGAAAATAACATCTTACCCTAATGAACCCCCTGACAGGATTTCCAGATCCCTAGGGATTCTGGCACACTTTGAGAAATGCTACCCTACATTATGGCTCACATGAAAATGCAAATTATACTGTGAACTTCAAGAAAATGCTTCCGAAATTTTCCTTAAAAGCAAAAATACTCAATGAAAAGTTGAAGTCCATCTACAAGTGAAACAGCTGAGAAATTTAAGGTGTGAGCAAACAGCAAGTACATTCAGAAAGCAAAGGTCATCACCTCATGTGCGCAGCACTTTTCTGCAGGACAGCCTCCGTGCGTGCGTTCTGCTCAGCAGAGAGTGTTGTCTTCCAGTACACTCGGCAGGCTGAGAAATCTGGAGTCAGAGAAACCTGAGACCCCACCCCCACACAGGTCACTTTTTAGTTTACATGGGTTTTCAAGATAAACAATATCCTGAAGATGAAAACAGCTGCAGAAGCCCCTCTCACCCAAGACAGGGCTCTGGCATGGTGCCGGAGGCCACCACCTGCTGCTGCACAACACCCCCAGGTGAAGCAGGGGCCCAGAAACCAAAACCTCCCCGCCCCGACCAGGTCACGCAGTTTGCAGAACGAAACTGGAATCGTGACCCCATGCTTGCCTCACAGCCACTTGCCCTGAGACGCTAATCAAAAATGCTCGAAACTGTCTTTTCTCCTGATGACTTCCCTTTAGCTGAACTCACTCTAAGTGGGTCGGAGGAAGTCATCTTCTGTACCTCTGCACTGAGGTACATCCAGATGCACCCTCTTCCCATGGGAGGCTTACACTGTCTACTATCTGACAATGTGCCAGGTGCTGTTTGGTCACAGGAGTCCTGCCTTGCAGCGAGACATCCGCCTCTGCACAGCAATACCCATCATCTGTCTTCAGGGCTCCAATGACCAGACTATCATTTCTGCAACCCAGAACTAAGACTTTATAAATGCTAAAGAGTCTTTTTTTTTAATTGTCAGGCAACACTGGGCCAGGTAAAGTAAGTGCCAGGCCTGCTGTCTCAACCCATTTCTTCTCTTTGGCCACACAGCCTACCTTGGAGAGTTCCACATTAAGGTCATAGAGCTCCTGACTCACTTCAGGGGTACACAGCAGGTCTGTCAGTGCCTTATAGAGAAGGCCATTCACGGCCCTCAGGCGCACATGGTCTTCCTTCCTGGTTTTCTTTGAGGTGCTCCTCATGAGGAATTCCAACTTGGATGGTTTGTAAGTCTCCATCAAGAAGAAGAGCATACCCCAAGGGCAGCATTACAACTCTACACCAAACTTACCAACTCATACAACAGGGGCTGGAGAAGGGCTTGATGGGCAACCAGATAAACAACAGCTATTACTCTCAGCCTTGTCGGCTTTCATTAAGATAAAGTTTGTTTTTTATAAACCGGGATCCTTTTAGATGTTACCGGATAACCCTCCAAGATTTAAAGTACTGCAAGTAAATATTTTCTCAAAAACAGTTGTTGTTGAGATATAATTCACATACCATAAAGTTCACCCTATTAAAGGGAATAACTCAGTAATTTTTAGCATATGTGATGTATTTATTTTTCAGAATGGGAGCCATATATTGCATAAACTTTTATGGTACATACACACTAAAAACTGAATGGACATTACCATATTATAATTTGATAAAAGATATAACTTTCGAGAAAACATTAATGTCAGTACTTTTTTTTTTTTTTAAGGTCAAAGCTCCATGTTACCAATGGCATCTGGTCACATCCACACAGACACTGTCCCCTCTCATACACAAATGGAAGACCTCCAGGTAAGAATTTTGCCAACTTTTAAACCCTCACTCCCATCAAGATTATAAAGTGGCTCATGGCTTATACTCACCAAGTGCGAGCCCAAGGAAGGACCTTCATACCAAAACTTTTTTCTTTGGGGAGAAAATAAACATTATGTTAGTCATGGCAAAGTCAAAAAGTTACATAAGCTAATTTAAGAGGTTATGATACCACAACCGTTTGTAAGGGCCTAAACTTAGACATTACATTACTGGCCATCTTAAAAGATTTCAAAACTTAATTGATAACAACATGGGTTGTGGGGAAGAGGTTGAAGATGGTTTTAATTCAACCTCGTAATTTTTACTTAAATTCTACTTCTAGTCCCAAGGATATAGAGGGAATCTTAAAAAGATACCTACCAAACTGCACAGAAACACTATCCTCTAGTTGATAAAGATGTTTCCCATGGAATTTCAGGTAAAGGATTCTGATACTGTCCTAGGCACAGACTGAGACTGAACACTTAAGCAAATGGATGGTGGGAGCCACGCTCAGCTCACTACTGGAGTGGGACTTACAGATAAGCATGGAGAGGAGGCTAGAATGATCCACACAGTGTGCTCTGGAGCTGGAGACAGATGGTTATACACAGAAATGTTTACAGGTGCATATTTACACACGGGTTAGCAGAAACATGTATACTCTTTCGTCAGATGAGATGGCCCAAAAGACAGACACCCCAGAAGCAATGAACACACCCGGCACCCATGATTTCTAATATCTCTCTCCAATAAAAGGAACGAGGGCTCCTTGGCAAAATGGCTGATTTTAGGGCCAGGTAGGAAACACACAAGATAAGCCTGGAGCATCCTGTAGTGTCAGAAAGTAGGAAAGTGTTCAATGCACACAAAAACCCAGCAAAACCCCACAATGACACGGTATGCAAACAGAACATAGGAGCTTAGAGAGCCAGAGCTAGAAACACCTGAACGAAATAAAGTAACATGAGACGAGTTCTTAGTGATATGAATGAATTAATGGCAGAGAAGAGACACATCTGCTTTTTTTTCCCCCTCGTTTCCTGAAACTAATCTCCTGAAAAAGGCTTCTGGTGACAAGAATCAAAATAAACATACATTGTCACTTTGCTTTTTAACCCAACACAGTTTCACGAAGAGAAAACTACCAATGTTGACAGTTGGAACTGCTGCAGACCCCAGCAGAATGTAAATCACTTACGAGCAAAATTCCCCACTCCTTAAGCGTGGGCTAAACACAGCGACTTTCTCCCAGAGTATAGTAGGGAAAGGGGACAAAAAGAGGTGGAGAAACCTGGCAAGCACCTCAGCCAGCGGATCACGGCCAACGTGGACCCTGGATAGGGTGCGATAATGGCCTTTACCTCTGTAGTCTTCCTCCCCAGAATCCATAATCCACGTCTAAGCATAAGGAAAGCAGGCACATTCCAACAGAGGGGCATCCTGCAAAGCATCTGACCAATACCCCTCAAAACTGGCACAGCCATCAAAAACAGGGACAGTCTGGGACACTACCCCAGCCTAAGGAGACAATTCAATGTAACGATAACGTGGACCGTGGGTGGGGACCTGGGATAGGACGGGACAGCGGGCAGCACCAAGGAAAAGTGAATAAAGTACGGGCTCCAGTTAGCAACGATTTATCGATATCGGCTCATTAACTCGACCACGTCTGGAGCTAAAGTCCGACGTTAATACAAGGGTAGCTGGGTGCCAGGACACAGGAACTCACTACTGTTTTTGCAATTTTTCTGTAGGGTCTAAAGCTGCCTTAAAAGTAGTGTATCAAAGTAGAAAACATACACCCCCCTGCCAGACTTAGCAGAAAGTCAATATATTTTATTGTACTTAATTTTCATCATTTAAAAACACTAATTATCATGACAAGCAAGCTTTAGTCTTCAAATTAACTCCACACAGAAAGTCAACATTAACAAGGAAATTCTTATATTTTTTCGTTTTCCGTCATTTGCTGAAACCAATTTCCTGAAAAATGCTTCTGGTGACAAGAATCAAAATAAACACACGTTGTCACTTTGCTTTTTAACCCGACACGTCCACGAACAGAAAAACCGCCACTGCTGACAGTGAGGGCTGGAACTGCTGCAGACCCCAGCAGTTAGGAGCCGGCGACCCAGGCCGCGTGGGCGCGGGAACGCGGCTGCGCGGACACCGCGACCCGGAGACACCACCCGCCAGGGAATGCCACGCCCGGGGACACCGCCCTCCGCCGCATTACTTGGTTTTGGAGGCAAATTTCTTGAGCCAGTTCTTGCAGGAGACAGCGGAGCCGTGCAGTCCCCGCGCGCAGTCCGGAACGAGCGCAGCATCGCGGCTGCGGAGCAGGACCCGGAGACCCGCGCGGGAGCCCCACAGCCTGCCCGCCGCAGCCCACATGGCGGGGCGCAGGGCCCGGGCGCGACCAAAGAGACAACGGGCGCAGGCGCAGAGCGACGACTGACGCGACGTGGCGGCGCGTGGGCGGGGCGACGATGCGAGGCGCGCAGAAAACTGGGCGCAACCGGACAGGGCAAAGACGGCAAAGGGGAGAAGACTGATGAGAGGCGGGCGGTGACGGGCGGGGCGAGGACGGACGCCAGGCGGGGCGACGACGGAGGAGGGGCGGGGACTGACGAGAGGTCGGCAGCGGGTGGACGGGGTGAGGATGACGCGAGGTGGGCGGTGAATGGGCGGGGCGAAGACTAAAGTGAGGCAGGCGGTGGGAGGGCGAGGTGGGCGAATGGGCGGGGCGAAAACGACGCCGGGTGGGCCGTGCGCGGGCGGGTGGAGGGTTGCGGGCACGGGGGTTTGCAGGCGGGGGGCGGGGGCGGGGGCGGGGGCGGGGGCGGGGGGCGGGGGGGGGGGGCGCGGGGCGACAACCCGCGCTAGGCCGGAGACTGGGAGCGGGCAGCAAAAGGGGCGGATCGAAGCCCGGGGCGAGGCGGCGCCGGGGAGAGCGCGGCGTGGGGAGGCCGCGTGGACTGCGCGGAGGGTGCGCCACGCGGGGAAACGCGAGGACCGCGCGGCTGCGGCGCTGCGGGGCGAGGGAACACTTTGCTTAAAAGCAGGGAACTGACGTGGGCGGGTGCGGCCCAAAACAACTAGGGCGGCGAAGCTGGAGAAGGGCAGCGCCGCTGTGGGCGGGAGGCTGCGAGGCGTCCGTCGGTTTCCGCCGCTGGTCCCGCCAGGGTTGCTCCTGCGCGGCCTCCTCCGCGGAGAAAGACCCCAGACCGAGCGTCCTCCCCTAAGGCGGCCCAGCCCCGTCCGCCGCTCCGGAGCCAGCGTGGCCCAGCGGGGAAGCCGCTCCCCCGGGTGTGGCCGGAGAAGGGAGCGCGACCGCGGCGCTCGGGGTGCGTGGGCTGCGATGCCCCCAGGCGGCTGCTGTGGTGTGAGACGCGTCCTTGTGTCTGTGTGTGTGCGTGTGTGGACGTGTGTGGTCACTCGAAGAAAATGATGAGACAAGTCTCAATCAGTTTAGGAAATTTATTTGCCAGAGTTAAGGACGTGCCCAGAAGACAGGTCTATGCTTTTCTCCAAAGATTTTGCGGGCTCCAGATTTAAAAGGGAAAGCGCAGACGACTGAGAAGCACAGAGTTTTCACGTAAAAAAAGGGCAGAAGAAAAATATGGGGAATCTGCATTTTACATAAGACAACACAGACGAAATGAGGGCGGGGAACAATCTGATGGGCTAGGGTGACTGCACGTGTTAAAATAAGCTATCAATTTGCATTGCTATGGTGAAGTTTTATTGTTTCTAGCTTTTTGAAATGGAGTTTCACTCTGTCGTCCAGGCTGGAGGGCAGTGGTGTGATCTCCATTCAGTGCAACCTCTGCTTTCTAGGTTCAAACAGTTGTCCTGCCTCAGCCTCCCCAATAGGTGGGATTATAGGCGAGTGCCACCACACCCAGATAATTTTTGTATTTTTAATAGAGATGGGATTTCCCCATGTTGGCCAGGCTGGTCTCAAACTCCTGACTTCAAGTGATCTGCCCGCCTCAGCCCTCCAAAGTGCTGGGATTACAGGCGTGAGCTACTGTGCCCGGCCACCAGGGTGAAGTTTTAACATCTCACCAGAATTTCCTTGTGGGCAAAATATTGGGAAGGGTGTAGCCTTTCGTCTCTTAGCCATCTTTCTTAGTATAGGGCTGATGGCCCACAGGGTCGTGGGGTGTCCCTTATGCTGTGCTGAGGCACAGGATCTGAGAAATAAAGAGAAAGGACACAGAAGTACAAGGAAAACACAGCTGGGCTCAGGGGGCCACGCCACCTATAAGCAGAGTCAGACCAGGTCCCGAATGTCCAGAAGCATCAGTATTTATTGTGTATAGGTTAGGGCGCAGGGCAGTGAGTGAAGTCATCTTTAAGGATAGTGATAGGGTCGTGAGCAATAAAACAAGGGGTCCATCCCCGTTAGGTCACGTAGGCTGGGAGGTGGACAGTGCGCAGCAAGGGGTCCATTCCCATTAGGTCATTGAGGCAAGGACCATGTGCAGTAAGGGGTCCACCCCCATTAGGTCACCGAGGTATGAAGGTGGGCAGTGTGCGGTGAGGAGGGTGTAGTGTGTGATATCTCTATGGGCAAGCTACTAAGAAGATATATAGGTGGATGCTTTAAGTCACAGCAGAGACACAGCTGTCAGGGTCTACACCACCTGCTGGCAGCTTCCAATGAGTTCTATAGGGGAATGCTTTGAAAAGCAGCACAGTAACAAGAGCTGATAAAGTTCACAATCACCAAGGTGGGATTGCCTGTCTGAGGGCAGCCTTCCACAAGAACTGGAGCAAGGTCCTACAACTCCTTTATCAGGAGGAATGGCTCTCGCCCAAGCCTGCCATACAGCAGGTATCTTTATGATACTGAAGGCTGCCGCCTGGGCCATGGGTTCTTGCCCTGGTATAACTGTTTTCCCTTAAATCATGCTCTGCTCTGTGTCTGCTCTAGGCATTCCTACAACTATAAGCTGCTTATTCCTTAATTCATGATCTGTACTGTGTTTAGGCATTCCTCTGATAATGAGCTAAGATAGATATAGATAGATAGATATATATATGGAAGTAACTGAGTGGTAAGATTTTCTTTAGGCACCCACTCTATGAACTAACATGAATATATATAGAGGATTATATAAAGGGAAATAACTAAGTAGTAACACTATAAACTGAGGTATTCTCCAAGCTCTAATTCTATAAACTTATATACGATTATATAAAAGATTACATAGAAGGAAATAACTGAGATACTCTTCCGGCCTTAATTATGCCAGGGTTCTGCTTAGCTCTCCTTCCCCGGTACCTATATGGGGGTTAGGAAATAACTGAGATATTCTTCAGGCCTTAATTATGCCAGGACTCTGCTTAGCTCTCCTTCCTCGGTGCCTATGGGGGGTTAGGAAATAACTGAGATATTCTTCAGGCCTTAATTATGC